CTGCAGCAGAGGGACTGGCATTAGCATCACACCACCAACCCCTTGTAAATTTACCTTCATGGAACATTAAAAATATGATTGTACAGCATGTAAAGCACAGAGATCTTCCAACACAGAACATTACCTGTGCACTGCCAATCACTCAAAAACAAGACAAAAACTCACGGGGTTTTTTGGACACAAGCATGTCTCAGCATACTGAAAGCCTCCCTGGCTCCAAGGCTGTGACTAGTGAGAAGCAGCAGCTCAAAACACCTTCTGCAAACATGTGACCAACCAAGAAGCAATAAATGAAAGCACAAGGGCAGACAAGTGTGCTGTGAGTAAGCTTAAACAGATCTGAATAAGTTGGATTGATCTTTACATGAATAGAATACTAATAGGACAAAAATTGCAAGAAACAAATGTTTAACTTAACATGAAGTTAAAAAGCAAGGTCAAAAAACCATACCTGTCCCTTAGAAGCATTACAGGGTCACTTATGACCAAAGAATCACCCAAGCTGTAGTGACACTAACCTTCTTAGCACAAGCTCTGCTTACTAGGCAAAGTACATTCCCCACACGTTGCAAACCACTGCACATGACACAGCACAGCCAAGACAAGCAGAAGAACAGTAACCAAGTTCCAAAAACACAGGATGTAAGTGCTGGTGACTCAAGGCTATCCCACTGATGTTCTTTTAAATCAGATGTCCTGTGTGTGCCAAAACTGAGGGAAAAACAGGATAAGAAAAGTGCCTTTCAAAATCTAGAAGTCCTCAGGATTCAGGTCATTAACAATCCAGATTTTCTTATTAGAAGATTAACATCTTAAAAGTTCATCACTAATGAAAAGCAAATCAAATAGTTCATACTAACCTGTCCAGCAAAAGGAGATGAGGCAGAGATAAGAAACATTCTATTGATAATCAATTATCTATAACTACAGAGATGAGTATATTTTAAGAAACTTGCAAGAATCCTTTAGATATTCTTAATGCAGTCCCATTAAGAAAGACAAATCCTAGTACAGACCAAATCCTCTTAGGAAAACTCCCTCTATCCAAGAACTACCCTGATTTCCCCTGATGCCCCTTTCAGGCAGTGCAACGGGATGCAAGAGCTTAAAGACAACCTACAAATGTCAGACACAATGTCACAGAGTAGTTTGCTTTTCTTTCCAGCCAAAAGAAATCCTTTTAGCACTGGTTGGAGTTACTGCCATTGAAAGTTAAGGTCATCTAGCAATGATTTCTCATTTATCAACAATCTCAGCTGTCTGCAATGGGAATGCAAGAAAGATGCAGCATGTCTCTACCATTTCAAAGCCTGACTGGATCCACATGCTCAAAAAGGAAAAAATCCTTCAGCTTAGAGTCCTAAACTCCTCTTTTGTCGCCACTCAGAACCGAGCGGACCAAATGTTCATTCTCTTCTGAGAAAGCCATAGAGAAATTTTTATTACATTGTACTTTTCCCTCTTTTAGCATCTCTGTTGGAGAAGCAGGCAAAGAAAGTTTCACAACATGGAAGAAGAGCAACCATTTATATCACCATTATGACTAGTTTTCTCCATTGGAAGTAAAACTTTGGCACATTCTGCACTCATTTACATCTCTCCTTGGAGATCAGTGAACAGTCAAGTTGAAGACACTTCACCAGACACACTTAAGTCCCCCTCTAGGGTACAGATTTTAATAACTAACAGGAAGAAAATTTTTCCAGAAAAGACCAAGTTAATTAGGACCTTCGTATACTATCTGAAGAAAATTTTGTGGCGTTTCAAGAGCAATTTGGTTTTGGCTAAACAGATGACAGAAATTCTTTAAAAGGAGAAGCCCTAAGACTGGCTTTTCAGGGGAACTCCTGCACAGACACAGTGTCTGCCAGACCAGTTCCCCACAGAGGGACATACAAAAAGAATACTTGGTTACTTAAGAACAGTGGAACAACTTCCATCAAATGTTCTCACCAGTGTAACAGTCCAGATAGCTTATTAGCCTCTCTAAAAATATTTGAGAGTTGCTGTTACAATCAAATAGCCTAACAAGGTAATTAAGTAACTTGTCTTTTCAAAAAATTCTGCATTTACAAATCATACTCAACATCACTATACTTATGCAGACACTTTCTTCTAGTGATTACTATCTGATTCATTGGTAGATGCGAACTAAAATGAGAAGGAAAATAAAGCTTGGTGAATCAGAACATAAATCTTGTATTTCTTCCCTTTGAGCTTCAACCCAACAGATGGCCAGTTCTGATGATTCAATGATCCTTTTAATGAGAATTCCACTGGAATACTGTTTGGGAGGAGGACGCAGCCTCAAGGTCACCACCACTCCTATCAGCATGCACGGCCCGTGAACAAATAAACAAGAAAATTTTGTGTTCCATTTCTACATGGAGAAAAGTAGCAGATGCAGATCAAAAGACGACAAAGGAAAATAGTAAGTATCACAGCTGTGATTTCATTAAATTCTTTAATGTAAATCAGCTTGAGATTAAACAAGCACTATACAATACCCTGCCAAGGGTCTTGTCCACAATCAAAATGTTTAAGGTTTCATTTTTAAACCCACATCAAAAGAGGATTACTGGAATATAATTAAGAGAAAACCCTCTAGACTTTCACACAAGGTCACCACTTGTTGAAGGTGGTTATTTTTGTTGACTATACTGCATGCTTGTGAAGTTGATGACATTTTAGTTACTTGATATTTGGCAATTTTTCATTGCAAAATATCCCTTCTCTCATGAAATTGTCCAGGAAACCTCATCTCTTTTCCTAGCATATGACTATATTGGTTTAGCATTTTGGCTAGAGTTTTTCACAACAGAAGTAACAGAAAAGCCCAAATGTGGGAACTGATCACACACAAGCTTTGGAGAAGTCTCTTTCAAAGTCTCTCTTCCTTTGAGCAGAGTTAAATAATCATGTAAACAGCCCATAAATCTCAAGAACACCCATCTTCAACATTATTTGCTTGCTACCAGTTGGTTCTAAGGCCTGAGGAAAGAATCACCTTCTCTAGCATCAAGCAAGGTGTTTCACACCATTGTTTAATAGCTTATGGAACCATAGAATAATGTAGCTTTAAAAGGATCCTCAGAAGTCACAGCTACATTTTCTAAAGCTAGTGAAAACAAGCGGCTCTGAAAGCAAAAGGTTTGCAACAAATGAAGCAAGAGATCCCTATGAAGATCTCTTGGGCAATATACAAGTACATAATAAATTAAATCTAAGAAGTTTCTTTCATGTGTACGCTCTCAATTCATTCACTTTAAATAGCCCCACGATACTATCATTTTGTTATTTTCTTTAAAAAAATTATTCTTTAAATGCTGCATTTCTTCAAAGTGCAAAAAGTATAAAACAACAGTTTCATGATTTTGAGTGCTGATTTTATTTCAAGTTTTAAAAAGTTTTAAGGTTTCCACTGCTGGAGCTCCATCTCTGTTCCTATGTACAAAGGATGACAAGGAGTTTTGGGAGGAACAAACTCCCCAAATCAAAACCAATTGAGTCCACCACTCCAGGGAAGAAAACAAATGTATCCTGAGATGGACAAAAGCAGGCCACTCCTGTCATATACACACACAAGGGTTAAGCACAGATAAGACTGATTCTCATTTGATCTTTCATCTCTTCTGAAGGTAACACTGGTCTCCATCGCTGTTCAGCATCTGCAAAGATTCCTCAGCTGCACACTGCTAGGAACAACCCCCCAGCTCTCAAAAAGGTTGCTCTGTCAAGCACAACACCAAAATCCTACTTTGGCAAAATAATCATTGGACTAAAATAATAGTAATAAAAAACCCCAAAAATCTACCCAAAATAACTTTTGCCTGCTTGCAGGTTGCATAAGGCATATACAGGAAAGTGGTAGAGAGATACATCAACCTTGATCACAAATAAACACGTACTGCAAGCTTTTTTTAAAAAAAAGCAGCATTGCCCATTCTAAAAGCATCACGGCATTACTGAAACAACCAGTTTCAGTAATTTACTTGGTTTCTCTGCTTGCAACGATGTTTGCAAGTGACAGCAGCATTGCCCCTAATCATAACATTCTGCATGGTTTCAATAAGAAGTTGATTTATGAGTTTGCTACATCCAGTCTTTCCTTAAAAACCTCCAGGGATAGTGACTCCATCACCTCCCTGTGCAGCCCCATACAAAGTCTAATCACCCTTCCTGTGAAGAAACTCCTCCTAATGCCCATCCTGAACCTCTATAGACACAACTTGAGACTGTATGAATGCCACAACAGATATCCAAAGCGCCAGGGACAAACTAAAGCACTAAAATGACAGAGTGTAACCATCAGAAGGAGCTACAGCAACCACCTCTAAAATCTTCCCTATTGACATTTGCAAGGAGGAATATTTTTTTTTGCCCTTTAGAGACAGAAAGCCAGCATTAGTAAATTTTAGGTCATCTGTTGCTGTTGTCATCTAGAAGCTTATCTAGCTGTAAAGCAGGCTATAAAATCTTCCCTATTGACATTTGCAAGGAGGAATATTTTTTTTGCACTTTAGAGACAGAAAGTCAGCCTTAGTAAATTTTAGGTCATCTGTTGCTGTTGTCATCTGGAAGCTTATCTAGCTGTAAAGCAGGCTATAAAAGACATGCCATATAATGTCTGGGGTGGGAGGGAGCCTGAAGATGCCACAGTTCCAGCTCCCTGATATGAGCAGAAACATTTCCGACCAGAGCAGGGCTGTTTCTCAGCAGAACCTGCATTTGATAAACCTCCAGTTGTTGGCTCAACGCAGCCAAGCCTTCCTTCTTACCCGATTTTTGCCTCAAAGCACCCGCGAACGCTCAGCACGGCCGCCAGCCGCCACAACCGCCTTTTCTACAGCGGCGAAAGCAGCAGGCCAGCGGCATTTAAGGGAGATTAAACCCGCCATTCCCTGTGCGATGGACAGCGCTCCTCTCAGCCTCAGCGCTTCATTACGGGAGACGCTTCATTACACCGGCTGCCCCACCACCGCCCCGTCCCACGGCCCTACCCGGGATGGCGAGGTTGGAGAGCGGCAGGGAGCGCAGGGCAGGCGGCAGCGAGCCCATCCAGTCGGCGTTGCCGTCGGCCATGGCCGCGGGGCTCCGCGCCGCCGGCGCTCCCTCACGGAGCCGGGCCGGGCCCGCCGCCACCCGCCGCCCTCATGGAACCGCGCTGACGTCACGGCGCACGGCGGCTTCCCATTGGCGGTGGGGTTGGCGGGCCGGGCTTGCGGCGGCCATGGCGGCTGTGGGGTCCCGGCGGCTGTGGGAGCCGCACCGTCCGGGCGGGTGTATATCTAGTATGATATATGTGATAATAAATATTTGTTGGAGTATACACGTTTGTATTAGGAGTCTCTCCTGGTGTATGTTGAAACCCGATTTACACATAAAAGATATGGCTCGTCAGGAGATGGGCCATGTCTGGAGGGATACGGGATGCTCAAGCGCTGATCATTTTGTGAACGACCCGAGATGGATATTATAGAAATATTATAGAAATATTATAGAAATATTATAGAAATATTATAGAAATCTTTGGGCAGATACATATGAGTACAGCGTTCCCGTAAATTTCATCAAGGGATTCACCCGCTCCAGGACATGGAATTGTTCTTCCTCATCACCAAAAAAAAAAAAAAAAGAAAATCTCATTAACCTATGGACTGTGATGGAAGAAATCTGACTGCCGAAATCTTGGCCTCAGGCGGAATTTTCCCTATAAAAACCGCTTGTGCCAGGATGGAGGTGTGTGGGCACAGAGGAAAACCTCTGCTGAGGCTGACTTCGTTGCACACCCAGCGCCGATCCCGGGCTTGGCCCTGTTCTTTCCTTGTGGATGGCTAGATATAATTTGATTGCAAAATAAATACTTTTTTTTTTTTTCATTTTAATTTGTCTGGACAAATTTTCATTTATAACAACACCCTCCCTTCAGATACTGATAGACACTGACGAGGTCCCCTCTCAGGCTGCCCCAGACCAAGCAGGCCCAGCTCCCTCAGCCGTTCCACATCAGACAGACACCGGTCCCCTTAAATATAGCTGTGAAAAATGCATATTTTATGATTGGCTTTTTGCAAATATTACAATGAATATTATATGTGTAATGTTAGAAAGTTATGCTGTATTAATTCTCTTAAGTAGTGTGATAAATGTAGTTTTAGGTTACAACATAATGTTAAAATAGAGACTATGAATGTGGGGGGAGTGTTTTTTGTTTTTTGTTTTTTTTTTTTATTTTGGAATGAGATACTCACTTTGAGGAACATCTAAATCTTCCAAAGAAAAGGAATTTATGGTTTTATTATTAGAAGAAGCTAATTTCTTCAGGCCTTGCTCAGATTCGAAGACGCCTTGGGGATTAAAGGAAACAGCTGACATACAACAGAGTTCTTGTTTTAAATAGAATGTATGCATAACCATGAAGGATATATGAATATGCAACAAGTGCATTGTTTTAAGGTTATTCCTTTGTTCACAAGGGATGCTTTTCGTGACTTAGTGTCCGAGAGCATCCGGACATCCGTAATTCTTTGCTTTTGTCTTGTAATTGTCCTAACTCTAAACTTTATTACTCTAATTGTATTACTATTTTTATAACCATTTTATTATTATTAAACTTTTAAAATTTTAAAAACCAAGTGATTGGCATTTTTCACATCTGGAGACACTTACACACTGTCTGGCAAGAGCTGGCACGGCAGCAGAAGGTTTAAGGAGCAGGACAGCACAGGCTCAATCCCCCACCACCTGCTCTTCCACAATTCCCTTTCCCCAGCAGTCTCACACTTGACCATTCACTGCATTTGGTTGTTAGGGAAAGAATTTTCTCCAAAATAACTTCTGGATTTGTCGTGATACACAAAATTGATCTTCTAAGATAGACTTTTCCTCCCTTGCATTATTATCCTTCCTTTTCTAAGAAAGAAGAGTATTAAATTACCTGTTGCCTCCACAAAACCTCAACCTCCTTCCATCTACACAAAATTTTGTAATTTGCTTCTGTAATCACTACCAAACCTTGCAATCATGATCATTAATTGAGATAGCCAGAGGGAACAAATGGCATTAATAATACAATTTTATTTTCCCCAGACTAAACTCACAAATTATATAGGGTCTTGTCACTCGAGACCATTCAAATGCTCCACTTCAAGCAAGTGTTTAAGTGGCTGCAAAAATGACTGCCTAAGCATACAGGGAAACATCATATTATTGACATTTTTTCATTCTGTATCAAGACTAGTAGGTATTTTTCCATGTTACTGGAGCATTCCCATATGAATGACATTCAGCAATGAGGATAGCCTGACTAAAACTTTACTATCAATTTCCCCCCACAGATTATATAGTCACATAAATATATATCATATTTATGCCTTATGTGGATTTACTGAGAACTCAGCTATTCCCTTTTGCCTGGGTGCAGAGCACAAGCCAATGCCACAAGCAGCCCAGACAATCCAGCAGCTCAAATCCCATTCCCATCCTCCTAACCCTTCTGTTTCAAATGCAGAGTAAAAAGATTAGCTGTGCAGATCAGGCTGATGCTATTTAGGCACCAAGAGGCATATGGTTTTCACTATTAGCCAATTCCAAACACACAAATGTGGTTTATTTCAATTTTAATATGTGGGCTGCCATATACAGAATATAAATCCAGAACAATTAACTTTTAAAAGAGCTTTAAAGGAACTGAAAATAAGCTGATAATATCAGGTGCTACAGGGAGCTTAGCCTTTTTCTCCTTACCATATTGAATACCCTGATAGCATGTCCCATTCTTAAACAGGCTGCATTTCTGCTACTAGAAAGCTTTTGTTAATGTTTGAAAAATCATCCTTTTCAGCCCAAAGTCTGCAGTGCCATGTAAATTCCAAATCCTTACAATGCAATTTATCAGCAGGCAGGAGATCAAATAAGTTAGGGGAATGGCTTCTGTGTCTTCTGTGTATTTGAAAGGTCACTTTGCTGCTGATGAGAAGAAAACTGCAGGATTCATTTGCAGAGAGAGGAGCTAATTGCTCAACATTTCATGTAAGTATACTCAGACTTTTCAAGCTGTTCATTACCATTTTTACCCTGACTGCAATGGAATCATTTAACATCTCCAACCATCAGACACACTCAATCACAAAGCTCTGCAGACATCACTGCATTTAAAATGCCACTTCTTTCAAGTGCACCACAAGCAATTTTACATCAACTCAGAAAACCACTGTTACTATCACAGCTTTTGCACTTCCTAAGCCCATTGCAAATACTTAGATTTCTGTTATACAAAATATACCCCGTGTAATATTGACTTCCACTCCTTTTTCTGCCAATCACTCATAGCCTCAGTGTCAGTTCTATCAATATATTCCTGCTTGTCTCTCCCTTTGTTTGCTGGAAGCCAAGCCCTGGCATCTGCGAGCCCTGTGTTTGACAATAGCGAGTTATTCAATTCTTCCTTTACACCACACAAGGGTGTTTCAGGCTGTGCGGGATGCCAGAATCAATCTGGAAGTCATCCCGTTTGGAAAGCAACCAAGGGGCAGATACATTATTTTTCCACTGATTAAAAGTTTTATCAAACTGGCCAAACTGGTACAGGAGACTTCGAAAGGAAAAAGATGAAGCATCATAAACTAGGAAACAGATGGAAGAGGAATTTTAAATACATAATCAGATGTTCTCTGAAATCAAATACTCTTTACTGTGGACTTCCCTGAGCTTTGTCTTGTCCTTAAAGGATAATTTCAAATATAATATGATTTCATATTATTTCTATTAAAATCTCCTTAAAGAGGATTAAGCAATCATTATGCCCCTACATAGCTTTTCAGGAGCTTTCCATTGGTTTATTGCTCCAAAGTTACTTGCAGAGTCAGGAAGAATTGCTTACTAAAATAATAAATAAAATTTCTCCTTTGTATCCTGCTTCTTCTGGAGTCAAAGCATCTTTCTAATGTTTGCCACTTCTAACTTGTGATGGCTTTAAATCCAGCAAAGACCATGCACAGTAACCAATACCGTGTGCTGGCTAGCAGGTTTAATTTCTGTGCACGGCTTCATCAAGCAAACACAGACACTGGAATGAAGCTGGAGCACTTCTCAAGGCTTTCAACACAGCTGCAAGGAGGAGAACATTGCTGAAAAGAGAAAACTCCATACATCTGTATTGTGTGTATGGGAGAAACAGCCCATCCCAGGAAATCCCAAGTGGCAAAACCTTTTATCAGGCAGTGTTACCTAATGATGGGATGGCCAGGGAGCTGTGCCCTGCCACAGCCTGCTCCCAGGCACTGCCACACCTCTGCCTGCACTCCAATTACTGCAGCACACCATGCAAACTAGAGAGGTGCTTCTTAAATAAACAAGCCAAGCTTAATTAATTTGCAGAACTAAAAGGCGCCATGTACGTGAAGCCACTGTACTACTGGTTAAACAAATCCTGAGAACAAATTCCTTCCTCCTGTCACTTTTCCTCCTCACCCTGCAGCATTCACCATCTCCTCAGGAGCAGATGAAAACCCCATGTGCACAAAACCAGCTAGCTGCTTAGCTTTCCAGTGTGTTGCTTTTATGGCTGTGTAATGCAGGGATTAAAGACCATATAGAGCAGCCCCAGCTAATTTCACAGTATGACATTACATGTTATTATGTGACCTCAGATTCTGACTTGGGTCTGCTTTACAGGTTTTATTGTGTCAAGGATTTGCATTTAGCAATGTGGTTTTGGTTGGGGTGGAGTTCATTCTCTTCATAGTATCTGGTATGAGGATTTATGAGCTGGTGTTTTGGATTTATGATAGAAACAGAGTTGATAATGTGGAGATATTTCCATTACTGCTGAGCAGTGCTTACAGAATGTCAGAGCCATTTCTGCCTCTCACCCCACCACTGAGTGGGCTGGGGCTGTAAAAGGAGTTGTGAGGTGACACAGCTGGGACAGCTGGCCCCAAGTGACCACAGTGACATCCCACACCATGTGGTGTCATGTTTGGAATATAAAGCTGGGGAAGAAGAAGGAGGAGGGGGACACTCAGAGCGATGGTGTTTTGCCTTCCCAATTCACCATTACACTTGACAGAGTCTGGCTTTCCTGCATTTTCCTGCATTTCCTGCCCATAGAAAGCAGTGAATACTTTCCTTGCTTCTCTTTGAGAGTGTGAAGCTTTTGCTTTCCCTATTAAACTGTCTTTTCCTCACTTTTACTCTTCCAGTTCTCTCTCCATCCTACTGGTGGAAGTGATCTGTCAGCGGGGCTTAAACCACAACAAACATTTAAGACTGTCTTAAAAAATCTTTACTATATCCACACAGCAAGCTTTGAACTTTTCCCACTTACAGAAAAGTTTTTACCTAATACTCCCATAGCCACCATCAAGCATCTGGTTAACTTGATCTGGGCCAAATAATTCCAGAGCTGACAGAACCCAAGTCCAAGCCAATGATTCCAGCTTACACAGCAGGGCAGCAGCTGCCAAAAATAATCACTGAATGCTAGAATGGTCTGGGTTTAAAGAAATCCCAAAGTTATCACCATGTTCCAAATCCTCTGCCATGGGCAGGGCCATTTCCCACTAGACAGTTGCTCAATGGGGCTGGCACGGGAGGGGATTTCCTCGCTCGGGTCCCAGTCTGACTGGGAAAGGCTGCCCCTTTCCCTGCTCCCTGTCTGAGGCCGGCAGAGGAGGGCAAAGCACCCTCGTTCTGTCCATCCCGCCGCATCCCCGGGCTGGGGAGGGACACCGCCGCATCCCCGGGCTGGGGAGGGACACCGCCGCATTCCCGGGCTGGGGAGGGACACCGCCGCATTCCCGGGCTGCCACCGGCGGGACCGGACGGGAATGGGGACGGGCCGGGACGGGAACGGGACGGGACGAGAACGGGGAAGGACCGGGGAAGGGACGAGGCAGGACGGGGAAGGGACGAGAACGGGGAAGGGACGGGCAGGACCGGGAACGGGGCAGGGACGAGAACGGGAAAGGGATGGGGCAGGACCGGGGAAGGGACAGGACGAGAACGGGGAAAGGACGGGACGAGAACCGGGAAAAGACGCGGCAGGACCGGGGAAGGGACAGGACGGGACCGGGAAGGGACGGGACCGGGGAAAAGACAGGACCAGAACGGGGAAGGGATGGGACGAGAACCGGGAAGGACCGGGATAGGGACAGGACGAGAACGAGGAAAGGATGCGGCAGGACCGGGGAAGGGACGGGACGAGAATGGGGAAGGGACGGGGCGGGACGGGGAAGAGAACCGGGAATGGGACGGGACGAGAACGAGGAAGGGATGGGGCAGGACCGGGGAAGGGACGGGGCAGGACCGGGAAGAGACAGGACCAGAACGGGGAAGGGATGGGGCAGGACCGGGGAAGGGACGGGGCGGGACCGGGGAAGGGACGGGACTGGGGAAGGGACACGGCAGGAACGGGGAATGGACGGGGCAGGACCGGGGAAGGGACGGGACGAGAACGGGGAAGGACCGGGGAAGGGACGGGACGAGAATGGGGAAGGGACGCGACGGGACGAGAACGGGGAAGGGATGGGCAGGACCGGGGAAGGGACGGGACGAGAACCGGGAAAAGACGCGGCAGGACCGGGGAAGGGACAGGACGGGACCGGGAAGGGACGCGGCAGGACCGGGAATGGGACGGGGCAGGACCGGGATAGGGACAGGACAAGAACGGGGAAGGGATGGGACGAGAACGGGGAAGGGATGGGGCAGGACCGGGGAAGGGACGGGACGAGAACCGGGAAAAGACGCGGCAGGACCGGGGAAAGGACAGGGCGGGACCGGGGAAGGGATGGGACGAAAATGGGGAAGAGATGGGGCAGGACCGGGGAAGGGATGGGACCGGGGAAGGGACGGGACGAGAACCGGGGAAGGGACAGGACGGGACCGGGAAGGGACGGGGCAGGACCGGGGAAGGAACGAGACGAGAACCGGGACGGGAACGGGGCAGGACCGGGACGAGAACCGGGCAGGACCGGGGCGGGACCGGGGCGGGACCGGGGCGGGACCAGGTAAGGGACAGGACGAGAACCGGGAAGGGAACGGGGCAGGACCGGGGCGGGACCGGGGCGGGACGAGCGGCGGGAGCGGCCCCGCTCGGCGCCGGGCGCGGTGCCGCGGCGCCACCTGCTGGAGAGCGGCGGGAGCGCGGGCGCCGTGCCCGGCGCGATTCCCGGCGCGGGGATTCGGGAGGAAAAACCCCGGGAGCGGCGGGAGCGCCCCGGGCACTACAACAGCCGCATTCGGGGGCGGTGACACCCCTGAGCGCTGCTCACGGTCAGAGGGAGCATCTCCAGCTCCCTCCGAGCGGGATCAGAATACCCGAGATTATAAATTAACCCCCTCCGGCACGCGTGCTGCGGATAGTCATCCTCGTCTGATGACTCTCCTGGCTCTCCTTACGCCTTGGGATATTGTTATCCGTCTGTTGGGTTTTTTTGTTGTTGTTTTTTGTGGGGTTTTTCCCAATTTATTGTTTTAAGGGCAACAATCTGCCTTATTTTGCAGCGATGGATAACGTGACAAAAGTTAAACTACTGCGCTTCTACGACACAGACAAGGAATGCGCAAATTAACATTGACCTTTTCATGCATAGAAGGTCGGTATAGTTTTGTAGGAAACAAAGCGTTTTCTGTTCAGCACAGATGATGGATTTAGAACTGCTTGTACTATAACATAAATAATACAACGAAATACTCTAAAAAGGGGTGTTAGATCATTCTTTCCAGTAAGCCATTCATTTAATCTAAAGTCCTAGGAAATACAGTGCTCTGAACCCTGAACCTCATTGACCAGCGTTGAGCGGTAAATAAAACAAATCCCATTCCTAAATCAGAATATCAATTTTAAGCCTGACATGACTGAATTTTAGCTGATTTGCATTAATTACAGAAATACCGTTGTGGTTACAATACATTTCCAAATGAGCTTAGAGGGATGGTTTCTTGGCAGCCTGAAGGTACCACAATTGCTGCCAAAAGCTGCTCCTGCAGCTCTGGTGCCTTGCTCTGGTGGTCACACAGCTGCTGACCTGGCTGAGCTGTGCAGAGCCCACCCTCTGCACCATCATTTATTCATTACTATCAATATGAGAAAATCTGTACCTTGGGCAGGACAGGGGGAAAGCTGGATCATCTCTTGGACAGGCTTAAGCCACCTGGGAAACTACTCCTGAGGTCTTGGAAATGTGAAGATAGCAAATAATGGAAGCTCATTAAGACCAATGAAAGAGAAATTGATTACATTCTTTTTTTCCTCCTTCACGTATATTTTAAATATAATTTCTGAAAAGCAGACTTAGAAGTAAGTATTATTTCAAAAGCATAGCACTTCCAAAAGGACTAGAATTTTCCATTGTCTTCAGGCTTGCTTCAGTCCTTAAGTCTCTGGATCAAAATTGACTTTCTTGTGACTTCACTGATGACAACTGGTACTTCTTTGCATACACTTGCACCAAGGCTGGTAATCTTTCATCTCATCAACCACCCTCCATGATCCAGTGCTGCAATCCTATGCCAATTTTCTGTCTGTTTATGGTGCTGATTCTTTCTTTTGGTTTCACAGTGATAGAAAATAAAATTATATGTTAGTCCACAGTAAAAATAAATAATTGCAAGAACAGCTTGTGTAGGTCTCAAAACCTTGTGTTCAGCCACTGTTTCCTGTGTAACTGTGGTGTCCATACGGCAGAGTTGTCATGTCTATACATTTAATAGATGGACAGCTTCAACACTCTCCAGTCAGGCTGGCAGACTCATGTGTTAGTCTGCTAGCAGGGACGAGACAGCAAATTCCCAGTTCAGCATCCAATTCAAATTAAGCAGGTGTGATCTCCCAGTGACACTCACTGTGAATACAGAGCACACACAGAGATACACAGCATGAAAGGAGTGTCCCAAGGAGTGCTCAGCTTCCAAAATTAATGCCATGTAGGAGCTCTGAAGTTAATTACGGGTCATTACCACCAAGCTCCTGTGAGCACTGTTGTAAAGGCAGAGCCTTTTGTCTGTGCCAGCCTTCTGTGTGGTGCTGTTACAGGTTTTCCAGCTCGTGGCAGGATGGGGGAGTCCCATCAGACTCTGCCATGGATGTGTATTTCATTGGAGGTGGCGGTGGCTTGAAAGATGGAGGTCTGTTCATGCTGAAATAAAAGAGAGAAAATCACACGAAAATAGCATAAAAGACAACTGTAAAAATGTTCACAGGAGGAGGTGGATTGGCACCAAGTCATTATAAGAGCACCTGACATTAGCTCTTACATACTGCAACTTCCTTGAGTCTGTTTTATAACCCCAGCACACCTCCCTCTATTCATTTGGCTTTCTTAGTTCCCACCTCACAGCTTTTTTCATTCATGTTCTAAAAGGACAGAACATAGTCCTGATGAACTATTCAAAACCCTTGCATGGGCCTTTTGCTCACACTGTTCTCTGAAAGTATATTTAAAGACTTGTAACTTTTTTTTTTTTGATCAATTGATAAATAAAAGTCCCCTCTCAAATCAGTTAAAAAAATCAATCCTGTTTTTATTTTTGAGATACAGGATTTGCAGTTGTGTTTCAAGAGGGTTTTCTAGAATCATAGGTGATTAATTATGATTTTTTGCTCACACTGTTCTCTGAAAGTATATTTAAAGACTTGTAACTTTTTTTTTTTGATCAATTGATAAATAAAGGTCCCATCTCAAATTAGTTAAAAAAATCAATCCTGTTCTTATTTTTGAGATACAGGATTTGCAGTTGTGTTTCAAGAGGGTTTTCTAGAATCATAGGTGATTAATTATGATTTTTTGCTCACACTGTTCTCTGAAAGTATATTTAAAGACTTGTAACTTTTTTTTTTGATCAATTGATAAATAAAGGTCCCATCTCAAAT